ACATTCAAATGTATAATTTAATACTGGAAATAGCTTTTTAAAGTGTGGATGTCCTCAATGATATTTTACTACTTAGTTTCTTATTATGTTTTAGACTTTAGGATTTTTAGAAGCTGACATTTTTACACTTTTTTTCTGGATTGCAGTTTTCTGAAATGTGAGTTTCTTATACTATGATTTTGTTTTCCTGATTTCCATAATGTTTATTGCATAAAGAAAGCTTGTATTTGTGGATACCTGAAGCCATTTGAGGTCCTGTCTATTATATGACAAAACAGCTTGCCACACTAGCTTCAGCTTTCACCATTCCCCTCCCCCTCAGTATTATCCTTTCTTATAAGAAGTTTGCTCAATGCTGAACCAAACCTGCAGCACCTGTATCTAATTAATCAGACGAAACAGCCTCATTTCCTGGTGCTTCTCGATTGGCCGAAGGTCTGATGAGTTTATTTAGGGCGGCCGTGTTCCCGCCTCCGCCCCTATCCGCTGCTGGAARCCCGGCGACCAAAAGTTTGATGCCTTCAGATACATCATTAAATACCACGCTGTGTCCGACTGAACACCTCCAGGTAAGAGCTGTCAAAGACGTGAAGTCAGAAGGTTACCTGAGGGAAAATAAATAAAAATAAAAAGGGGCGACTGTGTCGAAAATGCGGGCGGCGGAGAATAATTAAAAGTCAGCGGCAAGATAAGCAAAGCCGACCGGAAGCTGGCACGCAACTTTAATACATTTAAAGGCTTTTACGTTGCTAGTTTTGGTGCCCCCACCCTAAACAACCTAATTGTTTAGTGGGAGAACCGAGCCTTTTCTAGTTTTAACCCCGCGGACAATAATAATGGTTAAAAAGCCGTGTTCATGTTAGCTTGTGTGGCTAATCATCGCTTTCGGAAGTGGTTCAAGCAGAAACTTAACGCYGCTTGCTGGACACAAAGCTTCCACTTTCATTTCTGTTCAGTCCTTAGCTAATTGTTATTATTATTATTTTAACAGCTTTATTACGTTTATCTAAATAGCAGTATGGCTAAATTCACTCAGCTTAAACCGTCTAAGCTAAGTTGGGTGTTGTGCCGAAAAATGTACCCCCTCCGCTGGTTGGACAGCGAGTCTTTTCTGCAGCTTGTTCATTAATATGAAAGTGGGCATATTTCGTACTACCCTTAACACACTTCTATTATTTTTTAATCTAAATTTTGATGTTCAAGCTACGCGGCGTGCACTTTTTTTTTACGGCAGGGCAGCGGTTTTCGGCACAACACCGGTCACGTGGTACACTTTGGCTGATAGCACAGGTGTGGCGCATTAACTAATGAAGCGTCAAACCTCCCTTTTCAGTAGAACGCTGGTGTTAACTAGTCAGCCCATTGTGCCTCCTTTTTTGCAGTTTTAAACATTTTCAATATAGGCTGACATTTACAGCCATTTTGGTCTAAAATTTGAAAATTAAACTTGTATTTAAATGTCCAGGATAAATGTTTAGCGTGATCTTAAGCAGTGTGCATGTTTCTTTTAGACTATATTTTGACCTTTAGCAGTAATGATGGTGAGCCTGGTTTCCTGTCTGATCTCAAGGCAGGTTTTACTAATGGGCAACACACAGAGGTGGTTATAGTGTATTTATAGTAATTATATTTAGGAACACTGCCATGTGTTTAGTTGTCTCACATGTTTAAATCTTAATGAAAGGCTATGGGGCTTATCTCAAGTTAAAAGCTTTTGAGAAGATGCATTATGGGAAAACTGAGGTGCCTGATCAGTTGGTTACAAAAAGGTTGTCAAAATATAGGAGCTCTGAAAGTAAAAAAAATGGAGCAAAGTGTCATGCCATTGTTTTCAAAGATGTCAAACACTGATTGCTGCACAATGAGCATAATCTCTATTTTTTAAAARTATATTAAACACTGACTACAGAAATGCTGATTTTAAAAAGGAAACTAGCTGTGCAGTTTTCACATAATCTAAGTCTATAGCTTATCTAGAGCAGCTTTTTACAAGATATATATTTTAATTGATTCTCATGTTTTGTTTTTGGGTTTGCTTGTTTAAAACATGTTTTGCAATGTGTTTATCTAAAGTCACTGCACAGTCRGTCACAATATGTGATGGATATCTGCTGCTCTTAGGCATTTTTTTTTTCTTCCCCGCTCTGTTCATGCAACATTCACAGTTTCTGCAACCTCTGTGCCTCTGAGGACGAGAGATAAGAGTGGCTGTCTCTCCGTATTGAGAGTCTGCGTTTGACTTTCTAAATAAAGGCTGCTGACAGTGACTAAAACGCAGGACGTGGAGGCCACACATCACTCCTCTCTGTGCAGCAGTTTGTGCCGCAGTACGAACTGGGTTAGTATGCAGTGGGTGGCTTTAGCAAGAAGCAGTTTTGTCCCCTTTGTCCTTCTTAAATGGTCATCCATCCCTCCACCCCCCTCTTTTTTTTTTATACTCTTTATAACACCACCTCCTCCCCCAGCGTGACTGGGCTTGTCTGGGCTCTGGATGTTTGTCTGTTGGCCACTGGGTGGCCCCCACTCTGTGTGGGTCATTACTGCAGCTCAGTAATTTATTGCCCTTGAACACAACAGCTTCCACGTCTCATGCTTTGTTTTTGGGTAGTTTGATGCCACGCAGGTTTTTGAGGATAATAATGCCTCGTGCTCCTCAATTTTAAGTATTTGCTTGATGTGTTCTGTGTTTTGATTTTGTAAAATGTAATTTAATTTGGGCCTTTTTGAGTCAAACTGAGCTGAGGCAATGYATGCAATATATTCAGGGTCAGGTTCTTTTGGATGCTTTCAAAATATGCAACTTTTATTTCAGCAAAAATCACAGTTTTTATATTTGTGTTCAGATTTTAATACCTTTTTTTTTTAATCAAATTCATGAAAAGCAAATATGCTTTTCACTCAAAGGCTATTTGTTATGTTAATTTGAACTGAAGTTGATGCAATATTGATTCAGTGAGGAAGAAATAGTTTACATGCACTGCAGCCTTGCAGGGAGTTACGGTAGTTGTGTAGGGTGTGGTTATGACACATCACTGTRGTAAAGGCTGAACCTGAGACAAGTCATGATCCTCATATGTTTTACCAAAAGTTTCAAAGCTTTTTGAAATATAACATTTAGGTTATTGTAAGCCTAATCTTTAGCATAACATCAAATTGTGATGACCTGAGCAAAACATTACTTTTGTTAGTGGAACATATTTAGTCTCTGCAGAATTGTCTTTAAATAAACCAAATTATTAAACTGCCAGATTGCCCTGATGCCTGGTGAGTTTATCTATACTCGAAGGCCGCTATCCTGCATGTTTTACAGGTTTTCCTGCTCCGACACACCTGATTTTGATGGCTGGGTGATTAACAGGCTTCTGCCCAGTTTGAAGAGTTAATTCAATCACTGAATCAGGTGTGTTTGAGCTGGAAAACCTCTAAAACATGCAGGATAGCGGCCCTCGAGGACTGGAGTTTGACACCCCTGATCTATAGTACATGATAAATGTCAGAAACGGCTTGTTTAGCACAMCCAGTGAGTTGAGACTTGGGTTGAAGTTGTGCAACAAGTTGTTCAGCAGAATATAGACTTTTAGTGATTAATTGCTTGAAATAAAAATCTTTTAACAGTTTCAGAAACAGACTTGGCTGAATTTTCCTTCTCCTTACACCAGTGGGTGAACATCATAACTCCTTATCAAACACATTT